CGAGCAACCTTTCCCCCGTTTAGACGTAGGAAGTCGAACTACGTTGACTCTGACTTTCCCATTGCACGAGGGAATACGTAGGCCCAGAACACCGTATGTTCTGTCGAGTCCTGTCCTTTTATTTTCTTTTCTTTTCAGACCAGCCAGTAGCATAGATAGATAATACACCCTTTTACCTATAAACACCAAGCGTGGATCCCATCGAGTACGATGGACGTGAGGGGTGCTAATACCTTCCCCTTGCGTAACCGACTCCCGAATCCAGGTTTTGGTTGCGATGACCATACCTTTTCCCCGTCTTTGCGAGGTTTACTTCGAGCGTTTCCTTTCCCGCTCTGAGGGATAAATAACGCACGGTGGCGACTCTCCTGTCAAGCCGGCGCCGATTTTCGCAGTAGCGACAAGATCCAATCATCATTATTTGTCTTCAATCATCTTCAAAGTCTTTACTAGCTCCATAAGCCAAGCACAAACCCCAACACCCAAAGAAAAGGCCCAAAACTCAGCAAACAATCCAATATCCCAAGAGGGAAACACCCCAATATCAATCAACTTGCAAAAATCAAATAAAGTGGAAATATTCATCATAAAATCCTAGATTAATTTCTAAGGGACCCTAGCTATGTACCCTATACCCCACATGGACCCCAAGGCCTAGATCAAACTAAAAACCCAAGAACTATGTGTTGAAATGCACCTATGTCAAGTTGAAACCCTAATTCTAGCACACTAAAGTTCCTTATTCAAAACTAACCAAAATTAAATCAAAACAATGTGATAAAATTCCAAGGGGAACCTAATACTATATACTAATCATGGAAAAAAGAATCACATCAAAATGTAAAATAAAATGGCTAAACAAAATTCAGCAAAATGGATATACAAAATAAAATGCAATAAAAGCAACTAAATGTAAAAAATAAACCAAAAATAGAAAAATGCATGAAATGCTAATTTTATTTTTCTATAATTTTCTTGAGACAATTATGAGAATGGAGAAAAAACTCCCATATAAAAAGACCTATTTTTGAATTTATTATGAATTTTCAAAGATCCTAAAAATAATGTGTAAAATAAAAGAAATATGATGAAAAATAGAAAACAAGTGTGTCAAATAGCAATAAAAAGCAATGTATTTAACTAACTGGGCCCAGAAGGGGGTGGGGATAGCAAGCGCTACTAAGCCCAATATCAGTCAGAAAATTAACTTGAAATTATAAAGGAAAATGAAAAAAACCACGGTGCAGGAAGTAATGAAATTCAGTATATTTCATGGATGGGCCTCTAGAGGGGGTGTGGATAACAATTATCACTTAAGCCCAATGCCATGTTTTAAATGAAACGGTGCGTATTAATCTTTAGCCTTCTCCTTCACAAACTGACAGCAACTCACGGTCATTGAATTTCGTTTTGGTCAAAAGTCTTTGTCTAATCTAAGGGTGGTCAGATCATCTTCTTCATTTTGAATTGTGGAGGGAGAGTAGCCATGGATGTCTGAGCTTGCAACTTCATCTTCCCCAATTCGTACTCCCTCAAATCCTCATCAAATGCAAAAATTCAAAACCCTAACTCACTCCATTTTTCACAAGGAATCTAACCATGGCAATTAAACATATTGAAACACAACCTAACTCAAAACACGAATCAGACCTCAGAATTTGGTCCATGATCAAAACTCACCAAACTCCAAATTAAGTAGCTCAAACTCTTTACCACGCTTCACTGAACATTTCTATCCATCAAACCATGATTATAACACCAAGAATGCCAAGATACGATCATGAACAGAAATTGCATCATTCAACCAATTGTATCTAAATCAAACCTAAAGCTACCAGAAAGCTCCACATGATCATCTACAATGAATCTAACTAATCAAAACCAATTGAAACTACCTAAATCATGCCATGGAGTAAAGTTTACCTACCTGCAAATTTGAGATGAACAGAGGTATGAAATCTTCAAATCAAGCTTTGAGAACTTCAATACACCTTCAATGAATCACAATCTTGCTTCTGTATGCAAAAGAATTGGTTGAGGAGGCTTGGATTGTGGAAACCGATTCTGAGTTGCGTGTGAGAAAATCCAAGAGCAAGAACACGATTCAACCACCAATTTGCTATGATCTTGATCTGTAAACACTCACCAGCATCAATGGAAGCAAATGGGATCAAGAAATTGGATGGAAAGGGATGAAATGCTTGTAACCGAATCTGAGTTGCAACAGAAAAATTTCAATCTCAATCTCTCTTCTCTCCTTCAATTCTCACCAACTCTTGCTTGGGATCACTTCATATGCATATATAGAGTGTGAAGGAAGACTCTAGAAAGTTCTAGGTTGATCCAATGAGAAACTCACCATCTCATGTCATGAAATTCTCTTCTTATGATATGCACCTATCATCTCATGCTCTTAGCTTGAAATGCACTTGTTCTGAGTTTGAATTCTCTCCAAATGAGATATTGGAGGTGTATGGATGGAAAGGATCCTTGCATTTGCTTGGAAATGAGGTTTTGCAATTGTGCCTTATGGTTCAAGTAACCAATTTACAAAGAAAGTCCTTGAAATAACCCTCAATTCAAAATTGTGGCAATGTCAATGTTCTCAAAATGATTTTTACAATCAAATTGGTATGTCATATGCCTTGATTTGGTTGTGTAGATCAAAAACCCCAATTTCCAACTTTGGTTCATTTAAAATATACCTTCATTTTAGGTTATTTTTATGATTTTGTGAAGCAAGCCATTCCAAGCTCTCATGACCTCTTATCTAGCCTAAAAACATCATTTTGAACACATCTCATGTTGAACATTTTTTCATTTGAAGAGTGGAAGATGGAGATTTGGACTTATGTTGAAAAATGACCTGTAATTCAACTTTCCCAAAATACCCCTGGGTTGCCAAGACCATAACTTGAGTTCTACAAATCCTCTTGAGGAATTCTAGTACTAAAATTAAAGCTAAGATCAAGATCTACAACTCTTATGTTGGCCAAGAATCCATTTAAAAACTCCTTGATGGGAAAAAGTTGCTTGGAAGTCAAGTGACTTGCACAGATAAATTTCAGTGTCCTCTGATGACCCATAACTTGCAAGAACCATAACTTGAGTTCTACAAACCTTCTTGAATACTTCTAGTACTAAAATTAAAGCTATTGAAAAGCTATACAAGTTTCATGTTGACCAATAATTCATTTGAAACTTGCATTTTGACTTATCTGGCTTGGAAGCTAGGCCTAAATTAGGGTTTCTTACACTGAAACCCTAATTTAGTAACTCCTCTTCTTCTTGATTCCTTTTGATTTATCCTTTGCACAACACCACACATGTATCCACATATCAAATAATGAATTCCACATCCTCCAAGTAGGCTTTGATGCCCTCCAATCAATCATTTGACCTAGGGTTGACCTAGGGTTGACCCAGATGAAACCCTAGTTGACTGCATTCAACTGTAGCTCTTGTACTTGTATCAATGATTTGTCTCATCTTCAAAATGACCCTCTAGGTCTTCCATGTTCTTCCATACCCTCAGTCATGGCTCAGACACTCATTGATGATCTTCAACCCCTCAAGTTAGGAGAGAAATCCACTAGTTGACCTTCAAACTTCTCAAAGCTTCAACTCATTTCTTGATTACTTGGATGATCTTGAACTTGAATAAAACCCCTTGATGGGCCTCATTCTGATAAGAATGGCACTTGATCCCTTGTTAGATGACTTGTTATGCTATGCTATGCAAATGATTAGACTATGTACATGACTTATTATGCAAATGACAATGCAATTGAAACATAAACCAGGTGAAATAGGTTGAGCAAATTTTAGGGTGCAACAATTCCCAAGTAGAAGAAAATGTTGAAGTTGATGTAATTCAGGATTCTCCTCAGATTCTGCTAAATCCAGTTCCGGTGCCTTATCACCAATATCAAAATCAGTTCTAGAATCATCATAAACCTCTGAATAATCTAAAAGGAGAGACTCGCCAGTTTGTTCCAATCCCGATGACTTACATTCAGTTGTGGTCTTATTTTTCCCGAAACTCGGTAATGACACCTAGAAAGAGCAGAGTCATGAAATCTCGTCCTCACTGGTATAATCCAAATACCATTTATGAGTTTCATGATGGAGTAATGGGGCATCTGATTGAGGAGTGCAAGGTTTTCTAGGAAAAGGTTCAAGAGATGATCGACGATGAGATGTTGACCTTCCTCAAGGGAGGAAGCCCATTTGTGAATGGAACATCTTTATGCTGATAAATATAAAAACTTGAGCAAATTCATATTGCTGATGTTAGTGGAGTGACCCTTAGCGGTCATGCATTTTCTTTTGTGTCTCCAAAGAAAGTTGAGGATGTTTGTTGCACCCCAAATTTTACCCTTAGATTCATTGATCATTCGCACATCATTTAGGTCAATTATCCATGCATAACTAACCGTCCTAACCAGGTTGTTTGTTTTGTTTTTTGAAGTCAAGTTTGTTGCCGAAGATTCAAGGCCTTGTGTGTGTTCTAGTCCTTTACAAGTTATGTTGAAATCCTATGGACATAAAAATGATTTGCCCCAATCCTTATTTTTTCTCTCCAATAGGAAGTTATTCGTTATACGTCATGGGTTCAAGACTTCAAAAATTCAAAGAAAAATTCATCACATATGTTACTTCCAAACTCAAAAGAAATCAAATCTCATCAAACTTCAACTTAAAGTTCAAGAATGTCACACTTCCATTAATTGAGCCAAAGAGTTCAAGAACTTTATATTTGTCATAAGGGCTTCATTTTCAAATTACAAAGTAAAGCTGTATTTCAATGTTCGTGACGATTTAAGCCTCTAAAATTTACAATTTAGAATTCAAGATTAGATTTGTCACAAGAGATGGAAATTATTACATAGGAGTTTCAACTACTTTGCCCATGACATCTTAAAGTTAATATAGTTACAAGCAGCTAGAACTACTTTCTGAATCTATGGCTCCCATCCGTAGAGGTTTTAACAAAATATTCAAAAGGATGGACCCCACTTTGGAAAACGTTGGCCGTATACCGAAACCTGGCCAGTCAGAATACCAGAGACTTCAATAGCATAGTCATCGCGTAATACACCTCCAATGGTGCACAGCAGCAGACATATTACCCACATCCTCAAGAAGGCCTCATTTTTGTGCAGCATAGTTCCTTGCAGCAACAAATCATTTGTTTTAACCCTGCACCAAAATAGAGACCGTAAAAGTAATAGAGAAAACAAAAGAAGTCCACAAGTGGCTTTCCCCCATCACTTGTGAAGCCGTCATTACTTGATGTCATGAGGTTCCGTAGTTGTGTTAAGCTTCAGCCTTGGGAATACATTAGCTTTGCCATTTGCGTTTCCTATGTTGGCAGGAAATAAAAACATTATTATTTTAATATGGAAATAGGTTTATGAGTCCAAGAAAATATCAGAACGTATCAAGTTAGAAATGAAAATGTATCCTCATTCTTATTGTCACATAGATCATGTTCAGTGGAAATAAAAATGGCAAGTTTGATACCCTTTCAATACAGAATCAGGTATTTCGGCAAGGAATTAAAATGCGTTTACAAATACAAACCGAATCCAAGCAGAAATGGAAAGAAATCATATTGTTCCAACACAACCTTCATTCCTTTCCAAAACACAAAGTCGACAAGCAATTTAATGCATTCATTTCAAAAATCAGGATTTTGTTCTAGAGGACATTATAAAAAGGCGGAACCTCAATCACTCGAAAGGGGACGACATTCATAGAAAAACAAAAAAAATGCAGAGCAAACCCTAAATCGCGAAAAAAAATAAGTTTGGGGGAAATTTATCTTTCGCAGCCGCCGCGTTTCCTTCAAGCCGCCGTAGACGTCACCACCACATACGCCGCGAAAAGCTTCCACTCGCATCAACACCACCCTCATCGGTGAGGCAAACGCCGGCAACACCATTTAGGTGGCCCTTTCATTCTATTAACTGTTAATCATTTTTGTTTGTTTGTTTACAGAAAAAAGGTGAAGGAAGAAGAGCGAGGAATAGAAGGAGAAAAGATTACAGAAAAAAGATGAAGAAAGAAGTTGCGACAGATAGAGAAGAGAGGGAGAAAGAATTGGGGGGGCGCCGCTGAGTAGAAGAGGAAATTAGGGTTTCTTGAACCCTTCCCCCACCCCCTTTTGTGTGTTGTTGGCTCGGGTTGGGTCCGGTGGACCTAACCACCACCGGCCCAACCCATTTGTCTGTTTTTTTTTCTTTCAGTTTTTTTAATTTCTGCATTTCTTTTTTGTTGTTTTTAACTTAGGGCCTGGCCCAATTAACATAAAAAAAACTAATAATAATATAAAAAATATAATAATAAAAATGAAAGTAATAAAAGTAATTGGTATTTAGAAATATAAGTTTTAAAAATAATTTAGCTTTTAATTGAATATAATAAAAAACCAATATATATATATATATATATATATATATATATATATATATATATATATATATATATATATATATATATATATATATATATATATATATATATATATATATATATATATATATATATATATATATATATATATATATATATATATATATATATATATATATATATATATATATATATATATATATATATATATATATATATATATATATATATATATATATATATATATAGTGTGTGTGTGATAATCATCATTAAAAAATAGTACATCAATGTCATTAAAAAAACATCACAGTCACTACTATGTGTGCCTGACAACTTCTGCATCTTCTCCCCCGCCTATGCCTCTACCGCCTCGTCTGCCTCCTCGACTGTCCAGTCTGCGTCCTCGGCCATCGATCCCTTCCAACCTGGCGTGATGTCTGCGGTATATAAGTGCCCCTGTTGCCACCACAATCATGTCATCCAATACACGTCTGTGGTCAGACCCCCTAGGGAAGAAACCAGCGGCAATGCCTGCCCGCCCCATCTCCACTTTCTGACGACAACGAGACAGGACATCCTGAGTGTGGTCCAACTGAGACTGCTTCTCCTTTAAGATCTCCTGATGAGCTGGTATGAGCGGTGATCCTTTGGCAGTGGGCACCATGTAGGGGTGTGAGACGGTGAAGAACCACATGATGTAGCCATCAACGTAGCCCCAGTCTCTCGGCGCTCTGGTTGCCCGAGCCTTGTCAGGTACCATGTACCTTTGGTAGTCGGCATATATCTCCTCTATCTGCATATGGGTCAAGCCGAGAGGAGCAGACACAATTGGGTGTTTGGGATGGTATGAGTGTAGCCGAACTGCCGCATAACGCGCTCGGGCAAATATGAAACAATGATGGTTGAATTGCATGCCAACCATCCTGAGAATAGGGAGATGTCGTTAAACGGGCGCGTCACACTGTGATCAGCATAGACGTCGTACCGGATGTCCTCGGCAGTTAGGCGATCGAAATAGACTCTGTAAGGGTCGACCGCCTGGTTCCCCCTGAGCGGGAGAAAGGCACGGGCACGCGACATCTGCTATGTGTAATCAGGCACACTCCCCCATCCGGCGATCATGAGAAAGTGCTGGAATATCCAAGCCTGAAATGAAGATAAAAACATCAAGATCAAGCATTATCTCGAATATAGAATGAAAAGAAATGAAAAAATCGAAGGATATAAGATTGTTACCACAAGTAGTGCCACGCTCCTTGATACAATTCTGGTTTCCACAGGCATCCCTCTCCCAGCCGCGAATACTTGTAAGTCAGGGTAGCTGCCCCCCAGTTGTACTCATGGATCGTGTGGAATCCAAAAAGTACCTTAGGTAAGCGACATCCGTATATGTGGAAGAAGTGTCCACAAACAGGTGAGTGCCGACTAAAAATAGAAAATAACATCTCAGCACCTGTGTATCTCAACCTCAACTGGATCACCATCTGCCTGGCATGCAGCAACGAACGCCTCACCAAATTTACGGGTGAGAAAGGATAACCTGACATGAGCCCGTCTGGTCTTATCCACCTCCTCCAGCGCATCCAGTGGATCAGCCCCAAGCTTCTTGACCAACACCTCTCTCGCATCCTCCTTTGTCATCATACCATGACGAAGGAGGATACCCCTGATCGGTATATGTAGCAGACATGAGATGTCGTCTAGGGTGATCGTGAGCTCGCTGTGCGGTAGATGGAAGGAGGACGTCTCAGGGTGCCATCTCTCCGCAAAGCCCATTAGCATCCTGTTGTGGATCAGGATGTAACCGATCTCATAAAGGTCCTTAAAATCAGAGGCGCCAAAGACATCTTAAAATCAAGCCTCCCATGGCTGCTCAAAAGATGATATCTTCCGCCTGTGGTTATAGAATTTCTACGGCTGACGAGTCTGAAAATTTTCATAAATAAGAAATAATGTTAATAAGAAACAATGGTACAAATTATAAATTTCCAATGAAAAAAAGAAACAATCTGAGTAATGTTACCTCTTCATCCTAGACATGTTTGGCAGTATGGTCAGCATGGACATATCTGAGGGACCCCCTAGGAAACCCTCAGACTCGTCATCGTCGTCGTCACCAGCATCCTCCGGTGGTGGGTCATCACCCTCTAGAGGTGGCACAGATCATAGGCAGGGGGAGAACCAAGAGTATCCCGACGAGGCCTGCAGGAGGACGGGTGTCGCTTCCGCGAAAATAAGGTGCCGGCAGAACAGAAGAGTCGCCACCTTTCGTTATTTATCCCTCGGAGCGGGAAAGGAAACGATCGGAAAAACCTGACGAAAAAGGGTAAGACAAGGTCATCGCAACCGTTGTCTGGGTTCGGGAGTCGGTTACGCAAGGGGAAGGTATTTGCACCCCTCACGTCCGTCGTACTCGACGGGATCCACGCTTGTTGTGTTTACTGGACGAGTTGGTTTATCTATCTACCTATCAAGGCTGGCTTAAACAGAAAAGAAAATGACTCGGCAAAGCGTCGCACTTTATGCCTACATATTCCCATCAGAGAATGAGAAATCAGAGTCAACGTAGTTCGACCTACTTCGGGATATGGGGAAGGTAGCTCGCCAATACGTCAGTATTGTGCCTACGTACTCTCAACAGATATGAGAGATCAGAGCTTACGTAGTTCGGGCTACTACGCGTTATGGGGATTCAAATTCATCTATTTTATCGAGTAAGGTTAAACAACAGTTCCAGCAGTTAGGGACAAAGCCTGTTTGCGTTGGCGCTGAAGTTTAACGACACTCTTTTCTTCAGAAAAGCTTTCCTTTGAATTACGGGCCCACGGGGCAAAAAGGTTTGAAGTTTGTTTTCTGTCTTTTACGAAAGAAGTGTTTTTTATTGTGTTTGCAATTTCAATTGCACTAGAGACTATGACCTGAGATTGAATGCGTCGCATGTCACCCAAAGGGTACCATACTAAACATCCAGACTGTTGAAAAGAAACTCTCCAACAATCCTTTCTCAGATAGCTTAAGGCTCGTAACGTACGAAAGAAATCATTCATGATTACTGTATCTTAAGCTGTTTTGAGATGAGAAGAGAACAGGCTCAACTACGGGGAGACTATCAAGTCCTACTGTTGTCATGCCAAGGATTCATACTATAGTTGAAGTTTGAAACAGGGAACTCCTAGAAGTTATCATGCATAGGTTTCAACCTAAAGTTCTATCATCACTTCCTTATCAAAGGAAATGAGAGTCCTAAGGGATCATGTCAATGATACACCGAAACAGATAAAGCATCAGCTTACAGTAAACAGTAATACAGTAAAATGCATGCAATGCAAGTGAGGGAGGAAATGTGTGTGGGGCAGCAGCCTCCACAAGCTCATCTCAACCTCAAGCCAGAATGAATAACAGTAATCATACTGAAGAAAACATGCTATCAAGCAAAAAACAGTAAACTACAATCATACAGATAAAATAAAATCATGCTATCAAGCAAAATAAACCACATGGGCAAGGGAGTTGGGCTCTACCGAATACCCGCAAGCAAAGCCATACAGTAACAATACAAGTAGAGGGAGCAACTCAACCTCTAATGCAATCATGCTCCTAGATTAAAGCTAGTCTAGATATGGACTTATTCTAATGCATCAAGCAAGTCAAACAAGGCACATCAATACAGCAAAGAAACAGACAAGAAAGCAGATCAACTCCTCTCTCAACTCCAAGCTTCAGCTCTTCTAACATCAACTCAGTCTTCAGACCTCCATCACTCTTGACAAATATCAATTTGCTTTTCCAGGTTTCGACCCTTCAATATAAGTTTCAACTTATTCTCTCTTCTCTAAGCTTCAACTCCTTAATCAATTCCACCTTCAGGCTTCACTCTTAACCACA